TTCTACTTCATTACAATAAATAAATTGAAAACAAAGTTTGTTATAAATTAAATTTAAATGAAAAATACAAAAAATTATGTCAAAGTATTATACATAATTAAGATACGGGTTGCATTGTTGTATTTAAAATACAATAAAGGAAGTAATGCTCAATATTATGAGAATTGTTGTATTTAAAATCCAATAGAGGAAGTAAGAGTAAGATTAGCGCAGTCTTGTCTTAAGACTTTAATCCAATAACACATAAGATATTATATATAATATAATTATTTTTTTAATCTCCAATTATGTTAAAACTCCTTTACACTCTACTAGATTTATCTCTTCATTCCTTAGACTCATTTTAGATTTCTTTAAAACATTTACTAATTTTTTTCCCTTTTAACATACATATATTTTAATATGAAAATTCACATTGGTTGGGTGCACCGTACACCCTGGTGTACCTAAAAATTCCTAATATTTACTTGAGAGCTTCATGGTGAGCATATCGTTTAAAAAATAAAACTGATTTTTTAGACCACAAAATCATTATACTATTCATGAATAACTAGATTTAAGCCCGTGGATGCAAGTTTTTTTTATAAATTATTTTGTATAATTTGTAGTTTTTTTAAATAATTTAAATTGTAATATCTAAATATAATCTTTAGCTCTTAAAAAGATAAGTTTTTGTTTTTAAATAATTTAAATCCTATTTAGTCACTATTAGTTGTTTTTACCTATGTGGTCAAATCCTTAAATCTCATTCCTCACTTTGCTTAGGTGGCCAGTGAATTTTTTAATTTTAAAATAAAATACAAATCTAATTTACAATTGGTCCGCATAATACCTTTGCTTATGTGGCGCGTCAAATACTCTAAAAAAATATCGCATGATTTTTTCATACCTTATTTTGTATAGTTTTTAGTTTTTTAAATAATTTAAATTGTAATATCTAAAGAACAAATAAATTTTAGTTCTTAAAAAAAGTAAAAATAATTTCTAGTTTTTTAAATAATTTAAATCCTAATTAATCACTATTTGTTGTTTTTATCTATGTGGAAAAATTCTTAAATTTCATTTGTTACTTTTGCTTGGGTGGCGAGTGAATTTTTTAATTCTAAAATAAAATACAAATCTAATTTTTAATTGGTCAAGATAATACCTTTACTTATGTGGCGCGCCGAATGCTCTCGAAAAATGCCTACTTTATTTATATACGATGAAGCCATGCAATGCACGGTTTGTTTGTATTTTATAAAACAAATAATTTTTTTTTGTATGTATGTGATATAAAATTTGTTATTTTATTCGTTGTACTTTAATTTAATAGATTATTCGTTGTAAATAGTATATCAATTTTTAATTTTATATTAAAATAAATGTTGTGAATTTCTTCTCATTCGTTATATATTTAGTGAAATTCATAATCTCAAAAGATAATATTGTATATTTAATTAATTTAAACTTTAAAATATCATCTCCAATTTTGGTTATGTGGCATTTGAATGATTTAAATCTAAACAAATTATAAATCTAAAATTTTAATGGCTATAACTAAAAATTATAATTCTACATGGCGCGTTATAAAATTTTAATCCTATGTGGCTCTCTTAAAAACCCGGTCCGCTCTCTCTCTCTCTCTCTCTCTCTCTCTCTCTATATATATATATATATATATATATATATATATATATATATATATATATATATATATATATATATATATATAATTATATTTATAATGAGAACCAAGGTTATAATAAGAACTAAGAATTAATCTGGGCCCTTAGATCATATTAATCGGACGGTCCACATGCTTCCCGTGTAATTAATGGCATTTTCGTAATATTTCAACTTTACAAAGTAATTTTTAGTTTTATTTCTAAAAAGTAAATGAAAAGTTAGTAAAACTTTAAAAGTAAATGAAATGAGTCATAAAGTAAATGAAATTGCCTTAAAAGTTAAAAAAAAAAACTAGAAAAAATTTGAAAAACTACGAAATTATGAAAATGACATTAATTAAAACGGCTGAAACGTGAGCCGTTAGATTGAGTGAGATTAAAGGTTGAGATTTATCCAAAATATTAAAAGATTGTAATTCCTTGATTATTAACAATGGTTTTTCTAATTATTAAATAAAGGGTTAAACAATCATTTTGAGTTTTTTCTGTGAATTTTAATTGAAATTTATCATCGTTCATCAATGGTACGTGGACACACGTGATATATGTATGATTCTAAACTATATATAATTCCTTATCTAAATTACATTAATACTCCCTCTATTTTTATTTTTATTTTTATTTGTATCACTTTTCTTTTATGGGTGTTTTTTTTTTGAAATCATCACTTCTATATATGATAACTTTATACTATATTTTATCATTTCTCTCTCTTACTTTAAACCTCATTCAAATTACTTTATCATGCCTCTCTCTACCATGGTTCCCACTTACATAATAATAATAATAATATATATCATCCCTCACATACTTTATCTTTCATGGTCCCTATCTTATTTTTAGTATAATAATTTATTCATCCACTCACAATATTATATTATTCTTCTAAAACTCCGTGTATTTACAAGTGATGCAAAATAAAAAAAAACGGAAGGAGTATATCAAAACTATAAATCGGAGACGTACACTACGATTGAATTTAAATGAAGAGTACTAGGTTGAGATGAAGGTTATTTTAAGGTTGAAAGTTATATAAAGGTTGAAATTTAAATGAAGGTTATATAAGATTAAAGACGAAGGTTGGATTGTTAAAAAAAAAAATAATAATAATAAATAAATAAATAAAAATTTGAAGGTTGAAGATAAAATAATTTTCTTAATTGACCAAATAAACAATTCCTTAATGAATGTTTTGTTGGGTCCGGGTCATCCGCCTTGACCGACGCAGGCATACTCCGTTCCACATAAATATGATATTGTCCGCTTTGGACCTAGCCCGCACGAACTTGTTTATTGGCACCTTTCCAAAAGGTCTCATACTAATGGAGTGTGCTCTCACTTATAAGAGTTTTTCACTTCCTTAATCTTTTCATGTGGGACTTGGGATGAACACCCCAACAAACCTCCCCTCAGACCAAGGACCACATAACTTATGGCCTCCCCTTCAGCGAAACTATCTTGCACCACTGCTATCACCACGGGACACGCCGCATGAGCCACAATATCAGGACGACTTTCGACGCAAGGCACCACAATCATACCACTTGTTGGGGCCGGGTCACCCAACCTTGACGGATCGCAGGCACACTCTGGTCCACATTAGTATTATATTGCCCGCTTTGGGATTAGCTCACACGAATTTGTTTTTAAACACCTTTCCAAAAAAACCTCATAATAATAATAGAGTGTGCTCTCACTTATAAGGAGCTTTTCACTTCCTTAATCTTTTTATATGGGACTTGAGATGAACACCCCAACATGTTTTGCCCAAGCATCAGATTAGGCGATAAAGATTTTACAATTAGAATAACAACGGTGTAGATCTAACATATTATGTAGTCGATGGGAATAAAAATTAAAAAATAGTCCACCGACTATGATAGAAGCTTCCTTCATTTATATAATCATATTGTTGTAGCCTGCTCCCTAATTTAATTATTCTTAAGCTGCTTTCATTCGGTGCATATTATATTCAAGATCAGTACATGGATTAGTTCTTTTCGAATTGATTAATCTCTATTAATATTGTTTTTCAAACGTAATCTTCACTAATATTCTTTTTTTAATCTTTTTTTAGTCAAAAAGCTATCTCCACTAATTTTCTCTTTCAAAGTTTTCTCCTTTAGTTTTCTAAAAGTTTGCACTTTATAGTCACAAACCGCGGCGGTACCATAATTCTTCTCATTAAACATAGATAATTGAAGCGCAGCAAAACAATCTTTGTCTATGAAAGATTATCACATTGCTCACTAATAATGAAACGTCATAAGAATGCACAAAGGGTGTTTGATGAAATGTTAACTAAACTAGTTTAGTTCTTGTGTGATATATGGTTTTAATAACCACATTGTGAGATTTGTTTGTTTATAATATAAAATAAGAAAGTTTTCTACTGTGTAAATTTACTATATACATGATTAGTAATTTCTAATGTAGCATACTACTTGTAAAATATACAAAAATAAAAATAAAATAAAATAAAATAAAATAAATAAAAAAATCACAATGAATACTTTTAAACATTGAAATATTAAGTTTATAGGATAATAAACAAAGGTAAAAGAAAAAAAAATGATGTCATCATAGCAAATTGGCGGGAAAAAAAATTCATGTGAGAGCGTGTGTACAATTTGGGGAAGGGATGATGTTAACATGTTTTGTCTTAATATTAGTTAATAGAATAGATGTGATATTTTCACTTACAAATTTGTTACTCCCTCCGTACATTATTACTTGCTCCACATTATTCTTTTGCGCTTGTATTTTATTACTTGCTCCATTTATTTTATTAGAAACTTTTAATAATATTTTACTATTTTTCTGTCCACTAGTAGTCTTCTCATATCGTATTTTGATATATTTTATATTCTATTTCCTTTCCACTATACTCACTTTTTTTTCCCTTCATTTTTTTTTCAACTAACCTAATTTCTAGCATAAAATAATACTTTCGCCGTTTCTTTTTAGTTGACGTGTTTCTTTAGTCACGTTTGTCAGTGTTCAAATTCAACCATGACTTCGTAATATCTTTAATTACCGATAATAAAAAATTATGAAAAGTTTGATATTTTTAAAATATATATTTCATTACGTTTAAAACACAAAACATGGTCAAAATAAATTGTATGAACAGTGCTAAAATCAAAACGTGTCAGCTAAAAAATTTCTACTACTCCACTTAAAACCCCGTGTTAGAGAAAAACTATTGCTCTTAAAAATCCGTGTCATGAGAATTAAAGCAAGTATTACGGAGAATATGGGACCAGACGCGTAACATGACATTGAATATGTATATTAGTATATTGGCCAAAGTCGTCGTTAGGTCAAGTCAATGCACCTTGTATTAGCTTGGTTTACAAATACAAGAATTTTGTCTATATTTCACAATTCACCTTATAAAACAATCATAAACCACAAATAAAAAGCTAAATTAAAAGATAAAAATGTTAGCGGTACGAGCCTTCTGCTTCCTCTTCCCACTAGTATGGTTAAGTTTGGCAACCCCCATTGCGAAACCTGGCTGCCAACCTAGCTGCGGAAACATAAGTATTCCCTACCCGTATGGTATCGGCAGCAGCAAAGACGGGGATGCATGTTTCTTAAATGAATTCTACAACATAAGTTGCGTCGAGACTGCCGATCATCCGCCAAAAGCCTTTTTAAAAGGCAAAAACATTGAGATTCTTAACATATCCATTAACGGGCAGATCCTTGTTAAGAGCTTTGTGGCAACTGCATTCTACAAAAAAGGACAAGTTGTAAATTCAACTTCTGTAGAAGATGAAGCAGATATATCAAGTTATCCAATGGTATATTCCTACACCGAGAACAAGCTTATCACCATTGGCTGTGATGATTATGCCGTACTTGGCAGGGTTAGTGCCTCTGAATCTGCTTTAACAGGTGGGTGCATTGCAGGGTGTGAAGATTTATCAGTCGTGGTAAACGGATCGTGTTCAGGGGTTGGTTGCTGCCAAACATCCATCCCAATCGCGTTGTTTAAATATAACTTAATGTTAGGTAGTTTGAAGAACCACACAACGGTTGACAAGCGTAATCCATATGGCTACGCTTTCATAGGGAAACCGAGTAAGTTCAACTTCACTGTTGCTGATCTTGGTGACCCTGACTTCGCCAAGAGAACAAGAGACACTGTTCCGGTCGTCATTGATTGGTTTGTTCGGTATGATACTTTTTCTTCCGCTTATCCAACAGTATCATATAACGATTTTACTAATCACATTAACATCAAATGTCACGATTATAAGCCTTGCCATGGTGGCTGTGGCCAACAATGTAGTTGTCTTCCTGGTTACCAGGGTAATCCTTATCTTCGTCCCGGATGTACAGGTCAGTTATTACTTACGACTACTTTCTTTTTCAAAAAAAAGTTATACCATATTGGCTTTGGGTATTATTTAATGGAAGACTTTTTAAAAACTACAAAGAAATGGTAATTATTATACAGTATGGACATGTAGTACTTTTTAGGAGCAGTTTTTAATCTTATTTGTTTATTACTTAGATTACCATGCAAACTGTTAAACAGATTTAATTCACATTACCATCATATTCGTTGGTCAGAGTTTTCTTTAGTAAATAATTTTATCACATGAATAAAAATTTCTATCAAATTGACTTTTATAGTATGACATGAAATAATATTATAGGATATGATATAACTATTATCATTTTTTTTACACGATAAGATAAGCAGGGTGTGTGTGTGTGTGTGTTAGGGGGAGGGGGGTTGTCTCCTATCACAAGAGGGGTGGGTAAGGATCAAATCCAGGTCACTCGATCTTGGGCAAGCTCCACTCCTTAATCCTTAAATATGATTGTTATTATGTTATTTCCTTTTAAGTGATTGTTGAGGTGGCACGTTATGAAAATATATTAGAGCCTTCTCATACATTCGACTTTCAAATAGTTATATAGATATAGATTATTATAGACAAAGTTTTTAAACATTTACCATAAAAGTGAACAGATAGGCCCGTTCCTAGCTTTTTGGTGGCGTATGGGCGAAATGACAATTGGGCCCTAATTATCAAGTAAAGTAAAAATGTTAAATAAAATTGCAATATATATAAATATATATATATATGAATTTTCATTTTCATTTTTTTTCTTTGAAATAATCGAATGTACACATCAATGCTAATCTTTAGTAAAAAACATCAAATACCAAATATAACAAGAAAAAAAATTAAAAAAACTTAAAAGTAATAGAATAATACTTCGTATTCATTATATTATACCCAAACAAATTAATTATACAGTAAATAATAAGCAACTAAAATTACTGTATACATACCCAAATTGTAATTTTAAAAAAAAAAAAAAAAAAAAAAAAAAAGAATTTTAACATTACAGAACTTGGACTTTTTAAGCCAAACTAATTATCCACCCTCACTCCTTCTTAATTACTGCCCTTATGTTTCACTAATTTTGTTTGGAAAGTTTTGTCTTGGGTTCCGTGCACACCCCCTTTGTTGCAATTAACAATTAATGGAGGAATTAGAATTATAGGTGACTATTGTGAACCAAATACCACCACTTGAATTAGAGCTGTTTTAGGAGATTAATGAAGTTAGAATTTTACAAGAAAAAAAATTAATGGGAAGAAGATAACTATTAATTCCATTGAATCCGAATAAGAAGAGATTAATTTTTATCTATATTTTTGGAAGGGAAGTTATACGACCAAGAAAAAAATTATTTGGGGAAATAATTAAGGGCAAAGATAGATAGTAAATATTGCTTGAAAGTTGAAATTTGGGAAATAAAAAGCTATGAATCATTAAGTAGGATATTTTAAAAAAATTCCGAAGTTTTAATAGTATTGGGCTTTTCCCCTGGGGTCTAGGGCGATGACACCTTATGCCCTGCCCTAGGGATGGGCGTGTGATTGGATTGTCTACAATAATGGTTTGTTTCCTATTAATAAAAGCTCTTGGTATAAATTTCTTGCAGATATTGATGAATGTACAAATATTTCAAGTACTCATTGTTCTCATATTTGTATAAACACGGAGGGTGGCTACAAATGCTCTTGTCCGAGAGGATATCATGGAGATGGTTGGAAGAATGGAACACGTTGTGTCAATTCTTTTCCAAAAGTAGCTGTATATATCTGTGCAGTATTGGGATTGCTACTTTTGCCTCCAGTTGGGTGGTGGTTGTATTTTATGAACAAAAAAAGAAAGGTAGTTAAGCAAAAAGCTAAGAACTTTAAGAAAAATGGTGGTTTGTTGATGCGACGTCGTATGTCGTCTGATGAACGCTTAATGGAAAGAGCATATTTCTTCACCATTGATGAGCTGGAAACAGCCACAGACCACTTTAATGAGAGTAGGATACTTGGACGAGGAGGGCAAGGTATTGTTTATAAGGGAATGCTAGGTGAAGGGAGACTTGTTGCTGTAAAAAAATCTACGACATTGAATGAAAGCCAGCAAGAAGATTTCATCAACGAAGTTGTTATCATGTCTCAAGTAATTCATAGGAGTATAGTCAGGTTACTAGGATTCTGTTTGGATTCGGAAGTCCCAATACTAGTTTACGAGTTTATCCCCAACGGAACTCTTTTCAATAATCTCCATCATCTATATGAAGAGTTTCCAATCACATGGACAATGCGCTTGCAAATTGCTTCCGATTTAGCAAGAGCACTTCTTTATCTACATTCATTTTCTTATGTTCCTATACTTCATAGGGACATCAAATCTTCCAACATTCTATTAGATGATAAGTACAGGGCAAAGTTATCGGATTTTGGGTTATCAAAAAATGTGGCTCTCGATCAAACCCATGTAAGCACAGATGTTAAGGGAACATTTGGTTATTTAGATCCTGAATTTTTTGAGACAAGCCAATATACTGAGAAGAGTGATGTTTATAGTTTCGGTGTGGTCCTTGTTGAACTTTTAACAGGACAAAAGGCAATACGTGCTATGTGCGAACAAGAAAGAAGTTTGGTTTCATGGTTTCTTTCACATATGAAAAACTCTCAATTACTTGTCATTGTGGACCCTCAATTGCTAAAAGAGAGTTCGAAGGAAGAGGTTTACACTATTGCTGATCTTGCAATACAATGCTTGAATAAGAAAGGTAAGAGAAGACCCGCTATGAAAGAAGTTCTACTTGTACTAGAGACAGCAGAGTCTCGTCATATTAAATTGGCCCAAACCGATGAAGTACAAACCAGCTCAATACTCGAGCAAGTGTTGACTGCTGGAATAACTTGCAAATCAAATGATGAAAATGTTGTAGCTTCCTCTACATCTAGTATGGAAACACCTTATTTTAGATCAGCTGAAGTGTCTTTTTTATCTGACACCAGGCGTTGTAGTGATATAGAGTAATGAGAAGCTGGACTTGGCAGTGTTGTTTTTGGCGGGAAAGTTTGTTAAGAAATTATGTTATTTTCATATTTATTGTTTTCCAGTTTATTTGCATATGCTGTTATTTTTGTGTAATTGTAAGATGTGTTAAGTTTTCTATAAAGAACTAAATCAGTTGGAATTTTAATTCTCATTGAATGATAATTACGCTAAATCCTTCTCTCCGTTCTTTCTTTCTTTCTTTCTTTCTTTCTTTCTTTCTTCTTCTTCTTCTTCTTCTTCTTCTTCTTCTTCTTCTTCTTCTTCTTCTTCTTCTTCTTCTTCTTCTTCTCCTCTCTCTCTCTCTCTCTCCCCTAAATTTCCTCTTCTTCTTTCTCTATTCCTCTCCCTATTCTGTTATTATGCTATCATTTGATCATATAAGGGTGGTAGCCTTATCATGTAGATATCTTCAGTATTTTGGTCATATACTATTGCTATAAGTTGATCATATCAAGAATAGATTGACTCTACTTGATTTATGTATTATATTGTAGACACCTAATTATGTCTCCCTACATCCAAACCCGATGATGAACAACCTTTCACTGCAGAGTGCTTGAAACCATACCCATAGCCTAACTCATTTCCATCTAATTCACCTAAACCAACCCAATTTTTTTCCCAAACTTCTATCCAAAACCTTTCCTATCTGAACCATCAGAAATAACATTAACTACTACAGTAGGTGCGGGAGGTTTAGGCGGCTTCGTCGTCGAGACAGCCTTGATGTCGTTGCTTTTCTTCTTGCCCATCAGATGCTTGAGGTTGCCTCTCTTCAGCTGGAAGGCTACTTCTCTTCTTTAAGCATATCAATCTTTTGTTTTGTGCCCATGGTCGCTAAGGAATTCACACCACTTGCTCATATCTTTCTCGGAATCTGGCTTGGTGCTTTTCGACGGCCGACGAACTTTGTTACCTAGCAGCTCCAACGCATTCACCATAGCTACTACGTCGACATCAAAACCATATTATGATATTTCAGGGAATTTTGGTGCGTTGGCAACCTGTTCTTTCATACTATTAACAAACCGTTATCTACCTGATGTCTCGTAAGGCTGGTGTTGCCATGATCCTCGCTGGTTGTTTGCGACTTTCCAGTCGACTGAGCTCCTGTTGTTGTGGCCGGAACTGCGGTTGATCACGTCTTCGTCGAAGCACATCTGGGCCATTGCTCTTGTCCGGACTCCTTCAAATGTCGACCAGGGGTACTTGACCATATCCTTGTATAAATCATAATTGGTATGCAGTCCTCGACGGAAGACTTCAATGGCAGTTTGTTGTCGACATTCTTGATAGAGACCTTCTCTTTGTTGAGCTTGGTCCAATAAATCTTGATGCTTTCTTTTTGTCCTTGGACGATCTGGTACAGGTCGCTAGTTTGCTTGTGGAATTGCTTGCTACTTTCAAAATGGGAATAAAACTTGTTAATTAACATAGGAAAAAGTAGTGATACTACCGGGTTTGAGTTTGCCGAGCCATTTAAGGGCAGGTCCAATCAGCGTCGCGCCGAAAGATGCACATGCATGCTTCCAAGCACTCGAACGAAATTGATGCTTTCCACATCTGATGCTTGTAATATTCGACATGTTGCTCTAGACAGGTAGTGTCGTCGTAGAGTGAAGTAAATGTTGGAAGCGACAGTCTTCTAGGGATGCGAGCTCTGGACAACTCATCACTGAACGGCGTTGCTGCAAATCCGTTAGAAGCCTCTCTCTGGACTGGGATCGGGACACTTGGCATCCTCTTCATCATGATCAGCACTTTGGAATTCTGCTTCTCAAGAACTGCTAGCTTCTCGAGCAGTAGTTCAATTTGACTCGGTTCACGATCGTCGCGATGACGCTCATTCTCTGGAGTTTGGAAATTTCCTTGCTGCCTGTTGTTCGGGGTTTAAGTCTCGTTCCTTGTTCCTGAAGGCTCAGTATCCATTTCTTCGCCGCTGGTTTTGGTGTCGACATCATGCGGGGACTCCAGTAGCTCCAGGGAACGCATCGTCATGATCATCTCCAGCCAGCTTGGATCTCGACAACGGTTGCTCTAGGCGGATTCCAGTTGTTGACGGAGGTTAGCTGCATCAGATGCTGACGCCTCTCTTTCACGGCTTAGGCGTTCGTTGGATTCTTAAACTGCGAGGAGATGAACCTTAGTTTTCTCATAGGCTTCTCTTTTCTGCTCGAGAGTCATATCACCGAAATCCATTGCGAAAAAGGGTAGGGTTAAAATTTCTAAGCTTTAAGATTTTTATCTAGTTGTATCCCCACAGTCGGCGCCAAATTGTTTATGCTAAATTTCGTCAAGTGGGATTGAATAGCAAAATCTAGGTTACGAATCAACTAAATAAAACCTTAAAGAAAAGCAATAACGAAATAAGTAAATGACACAAAAAATTAGTGACGCGAAAAACCCACCGAAGGTAAAAAACCGCGGGTAGAATGAGGATCTACTAAACTTTACTATGTAAAACGATTGAACAAAGATGATTACAATGTATGATAGGTAGGTGTAAGTAGCTAGGTTGCAATGTATATTCTATGCCACGGCTAGATGCTTATATAGACATAATTTAGGTCATGATGTAGCCGTTGGAGGTGATAAGATGCTTCACTTGATTTCCGGCAACAAACTCCTTGACTCATGGCACTTCTCCCAGCTTGACAAACGGCTTGACCCTGCTGCTAGGAGACTTAGTCTTTCATGCTTATCTCTTCCTAGGAAATAGGAGAGTGGTTACACTCACTCCACTCGTCGAACCTGGCAGGACGTCAACTCTATCTCTCTGTCGTTGACTTTCTTTGACTTTGACCCCTACGAAATTTACCCATAACAATAATTTCAATGTTTATTTGCATTATTTTTTCTTTTGAGTGGATATAGCAGAGCTTGCAAATCATTTTCTTATTCAGTTGCATCTTTTTTCAGAAACAAAAATGGATATTGTTGGCACAGTTCTATGAGCTACTCAAACTCTGCTTACAGCGTTGCAGTGTTCAGAGCTCCAAGAGATCCTTTCAATCTGTGGCTACAAATCCTAGTTTGATGATCTCCGACACACCGTCTCTGCCGTCAATGCTGTGCTTCTTGATGCAGAGGCCAAGCTGGAGCTCTCTCATGAAGCACAGTATAAGCTCGAGGAGCTTAAGGACGGAGTCTTTGAAGCAGATGATCTACTGGACGAGTTTGTTACTCTTGCTCAGCAGAAGCAACTCTTGGAGGCTGGTGGTAGTCTCTCTAGAAAGGTGTGTCGTTTCTTCTGATTCCAACCCATTAGGTTTAGCTTACAGGATGTCTCGAGGGGTTAAGAAAATCAGGAAGAAGCTGGATGCTATTGCTTGTAACACTCAGTTTAGCTTTAAGCATGATCCCGAGCCTATTTGGAGGGGAAGGCCCGAGCCCTGTTCCTATGTAGATGCAGGCGATATCATTGGAAGAAAGGATGACTTGGAGAAGATTGTTGGTATGATGCTCGATTCTAATGTGCAACGTGATGTATTTTTTCTCACGATCGTGGGAATTGGAGGATTAGGCAAGACAACACTTGCTCAACTTGTGCATAACGATCCAAGGGTTACAACTGCATTTCCGTTGAGGATGTGGACTTGTGTTTCTGATCAAGAACAGAAGCAACTTGATGTAAAAGAAATTCTTTGTAAGATTTTGGGTTCAGCTACTGGTGAGCGTCACAAACACTCAACCTTGGATCACGTACAAAAACAGCTACGCAATTGAACTAGCAGGCAAAAATTACTTGCTTGTTTTTTATGATTTATGGTCTGAGAAGTGTGATCAGTGGTGTGACCTGGAAAGATTCTTCACAGGAGGTCAAAGAGGAAGCTAGATTTTGGTAACAACACGTTCGCAAGCAACGACAGAATTTATAGGAGATAATATAACACACCAGCTCCAAGGCTTGTCAGAGGAAAATTCATGGTGCTTATTTGAAAGGATGGCTTTGGATTACAATCGTCTAACCCTCCTGACGACTTGGTCAAGATTGGGAAGGAGATTGTAAAAGGTTGTGCTCGAGTCCCTCTTGCTATAAGAGTGGTAGGAAGTCTCTTATATGGTCAAGACAAGAGTAAGTGGCTATCACTAGCGCAAATACAATTAGCCAACCTCAGAGAGAGCCAGAATGACATCATGCCTATATTGAAGCTGAGTTATTACAATCTCGAGTCTCCTCTGAAAAGTTGTTTCAGCTATTGTGCGTTGTTTCTTAAGGATTATCGGATAGAAAAGGAGATGTTACTAAGCCTTTGGATGGCACAAGGCTATATCATCCCTTTATATGAAGGTCAAAACATTGAAGATGCGACAGAGGAATTTTTTCAACTTTGTTGCAAAGATGTTTCTTTCATGACGTAGGAAGAAATGGAAGTGGTGAAGTTATGTGTTTTATGATACACGATCTTATGCATGATGTTGCTCAAATAGTAACCAAACAAGAGATTTGTGCAACAGATAACTTAGGCGGCAACTTGGATTAATTATAAAGTTCGCCATTTGTCTGTTACCAGAAACGAAAGTGCAAGATGTTTGTTATACATGTCCCATATTCGAACGTATCTGGCCAATGGGGTCAATCACTCAAGTAGTCGTTAAAATGGAACATTTATACGTAGAGGCACTTTTAGCTAATTGCATTCGCCTAAGGGCTTTGGATTTGAGTCATTCAAAAATTCAAACATTGCCTGAATCGATTGGTGAATTGTTGCACTTGGGGAATTTGGATCTTTCTCAAAACCAAAGACTAGAAGTGCTTCCAAAGTCGATTACAAAACTATGTAATCTACAAACCTTAAATTTATTTGGCTGCTCTAAATTGAAAGAGTTGCCAAAAGAGTTGAGTAGGCTGGTGCAGCTTAGGACTTTGTATTGCCGAATATAACTTGTTTCCCCAGGGGGATGGCAGAGTTGAATTGCCTTCGCAGGCTAATACATTTATAGTCGGTGGTAAAGGGATTTATTCAACTGCGAAGCAATGGTTTGATGGACTGGAAGATCTTAAGGCTATGAACAACCTCAAAGGTCTGCTTTGTATCCAGTTTAAGTGGTCTAATAATGTTGTTAAGGTAGATGACAGCAGAACTAAATGACATTATCTAAGACGCAAGGAACATCTCCAGTGCCTTAAGATTTATTTTCATCATCAGAAAGTAGATGGAGATGTGGATACTGAGGAAGCAAGAAGATTGATGGAAGAGCTGCAACCACATTCAAATCTCAAGCAGTTACTAGTATCTGGGTACTGTGGTGTGAGAATGCCTGGTTGGACAACACTTCTTCCAAATCTTGCGTATATTCTTCTTAAGAATTGTAAGGAGTTGCAGTACCTGCCGTGTCTTGGAAGCCTGCGTCATCTCAAATCCCTCAGCCTTAGTAGTTTACCTAAGTTGGAGTATATAGAAATTAGTCAATCAGTTTTCAGTTCCACGCCTGGATCAGAATGTGCTCAAGGAGTATCAATCTTCCCCTCCTTGGAACGCCTGCACTTGTTTCGTTTGCCAAAGTTGAAAGGATGGAGAGATGATTTTCTTCACCTTGAAGATAACAAAAAACATGCAATTATGTCTCTCTCACTTGCGTACAGTGAGCTGCCCGGAGTTGACTTGTATTCTGCTGTGCTCCAAGGTTGAAGATATATGGTTACGAGACTTCAACAAAAGACTGAAAATATTACAAACCAAGGGGGATGAAAAAATAGGAGAGGTTCCTCCCTCATCAGCATTCTCTTATGATAAATTGTCGCAGTCATTGTTTGATACTGAAAATTCAGGAAAGTGAGAATAGACAATGTGGTGTGGTAAAATTCTCTGCCCATGATGGCTTTTCAGAGTCTTGAATGATTAGAATTTAATGACTCGGGGGAGGTGGAGAGCTTGGAAGAAGTAGAGGAGGTGTTTCGCAAGTGACAAACTAAGGAGTGTTTCTGGAGGATTAGAGCATCTCACTGCCTTAAAGAACTTAACAATACGAAAGTGTCCTAATGTGAGGCTATCAGAAGAGACTGAAGATGGCTGGGCATGGTGATCCCTTCATTACTCCCTCCGCGACTTGACATTTAATGATCTGCCACAGCTAGTGAGTCTGCCTGATTGGATGCAATCCTTGGCTGCCCTCGAATGCCTTAATATTCACTTTCATGAAAGACTAGAATCAATACCGAATTGGATGTCCAAACTCACATCTCTTAAGCAACTTGTGCTCGTGGGATGTTCAGAAAGCCTGAAGAGTAGATGTCAAAAACAACCCCCCGGGGAGGTTTGGTCCTACATTAAACACATCTTCTTCATTCAAATTCAATAGGATTGTTTATGTCTTATTCCCGCTGCTTCTCTATGATCATTGTTATTCCATAAGCAGGTACGCGAACAAGTAAATACTATTCCCTGCAATACACTTGATATATATCGTACTTTCGCTTTTCCATAATAATATTTTCTAGCATTCTCCTTTAATATAACTCACAACATTGCTGCTCTGTCTAGATGGGTCAGTTTTATGCTGATTTGTTATAAATTTTCACAGTTTGGAGTTTATATGATCATTAATCAATTAGAAACTGCTCTGGTTCAAGTTTCACAAAACTGATTTATCTCTTAGGCCCTTTCCTAACAGTAATTCTGCTTTAAATGGTGCTATTTTTGTTACATATTTCAAGAAAATCAAGGATGAAATTTTACAACTGAAACTCCATCATAAGAATAAACATGGTTAACAAATAAATGAAGTTTCCGCTCTTAAAATGTCATGTTAGAATCGAATTCTCGATGTTAGTTTTACTGATACATTCTTACCTTTTGCAGTTATTAGGTTATTACGTCTTTTACTAGATTAAGGCCCTGTTCTTTTGAGTTGTTCTGTTTTGCTCTGCTCTACCCTGCCCTGCTCTGCTCTGCTGAAATCTGTTTTGCTTTGCTCTGCCTGCTTGCTATGCTCTGCCTGCTTAAAAATAACAATTAATAATAATAATAATTAATATTTAATAATAATAGATAATAATAATAATAATAATAACAATTAATATAAAATCTTAATTGATAATAACTAATAATTTATATTATTTAATACATTTTTTAATGTTATAAAAAGAGTAAAAAAATCTAAAAAAAAAAAAAAAATAATAATAATAATAATAATAATAAAAAAAAAAAAAAAAATAATAATAATAATAATAATAATAATAATAATAATATAATAGTAATAATAATAATAATTGGATGCTCACAAGTATCTTGTAATGTGCACTGTGCAGGTGCCAGATAATGAGAGATACCGGAGAAATTCATAAATAAGGTGGAAACTGTTAAGAAAGAAAGACCTGTTGATAATACAAGTGCTACTACAATACAAGGGCAACAAAGCTAGTTTCATGGAGAATAATGCACACATTGTATTCTCCTCCTATTTTGTTTTTTTTAAACAAAAAAAAAATTAAATTAAAATTTAAAAAAAAAAAAACGTATATATACCAATTCAACTTGTTAGTTTCCTAAAAAACTCTGTAACTAGGTTAGTCCCGTGCGATGCACGGTTTTAATAATAAAAATTTACAGGTAAGTGTGTAATATAAATATTTTAAGCAAAACATAATAAATCGTAATCCCTCTTGTTAGATTAATTGAGCTAAATTGAAGGACATTATATTAAATATTCTAACTAATTAACTTTATAGCTATAATAAAATTTTAAAAATGTTAGCATTCACTTTTTATTCAGTAGAAAATTTGAAGAATTAATAAAGAGAGGAAAATCCTAACTCTACAATCACTAATATAATATAGGAGATGTTCGTTTGGCTTAAAAAAAAAAAAAAAACACACACACACACACACAGTTATGTATGTATGTATGTATGTATATATATATATATATATATATATATATATATATATATATATATATATATATATATATATATATATAGAAATGGGATCATGTGAGAACCCATGGCTTAGGTGAGAACCATTTTAAAATGAGAACTCATCTAACACCATTCATTTTTATTAGATGAATGGTTCAGATTTATTGTTTCATTAGTGGGAATTCACGTGGGCCACCTTCATTAATTGTAATGATTGTTTGTATTTTTTTTTTAATTTTTGTGCATTGGGACACAAAATCTGTCAAAAGCTGTCATTATTACATGCTTTTTATTATTTATTGCATTGAAACACGTTAATTTGCATTGGAAAACCAATAGATTATTCAGTAAAATGCAAGGTTCACATAAATTCGAACGTTACGTTAAAATGTAGTTGAAGTGTACGTCATTAATGATGTTTCGTAAAATATATCAAGTGTTTCAATTTATAATATTAATGTTTCATATATATTATTGCTTGTTTCATATAGTTGGGCTCTATATGAACTACGTGTACTGTGATTTTTTATAACTTATCTGATGTTTCAAAAAATATATCTTATGTTTCATTTTATAGTGCTTATGTTCCATAAAATATATGTGTTGTTTCATGTACTAATGATATTGTTTTTTGTATTGGGATACAAAATCTGTCAAAAGCTGTCATTATTACATGCTTTTTATTATTTATTGCATTGAAACATGTTAACTTGCATTGGAAAACCAAGAGATTGTTCAGTAAAATGCAAGGTTCACATAAATTCGAACGTTACGTTAAAATGTAGTTGAAGTATACGTCGTTAATGATGTTTCGTAAAATATATCAAGTGTTTCAATTTATAATGTTAATGTTTCATATATATTATTGCTTGTTTCATACAGTTGGGCTCTATATGAACTAGGTGTATTGTGATTTCTTATACCTTATCTGATGTTTCAAAAAATATACCTTATGTTTCATTTTATAGTGCTTATGTTCCATAAAATATATGTGTTGTTTCATATACTAATGATATTGTTTTATACATAAAAATCATTGATGTTTCATATAATATTTCATTCGAATATTATTTATATTGTTCCAAAAATAAGAACTATTGTCCCATAAATATTATACATTGTTCCATACCATATGTGTGAAATGTACCAATGACTGAAATGCATGTTCCCAAGAAAATTAAAAAGCATGTACCAATGACTGAAATACGTGTTCCCAAGAAAATGCATGGGAAAGTGATAATTAATCTCAGCCACCCATTAAGTGTAGTTGGTGTACGTTAATGATGTTTCGTAAAATATATCAAGTGTTTCAATTTATAATATTAATGTTTCATATATATTATTGCTTGTTTCATATAGTTGGGCTCTATATAAACTAGGTTTATTGTGATTTCTTATACCTTATTGATGTTTAAAAAAACATACCTTATGTTTCATTTTATACTATTTATGTTCCATAAAATATATGTATTGTTTCATATACTAATGATATTGTTTTATACATAAAAATCATTGATGTTTCATATAATATTTCATTCGAATATTATTTATATTGTTCCAGAAATAAGAACAATTGTCCCATAAATATTATACATTGTTCCATACCATATGTGTGAAATATACCAATGACTGAAATGCGTGTTCCCAAGAAAATTAAAAAGCATGTACCAATGACTGAAATGCGTGTTCCCAAGAAAATGCATGGGAAAGTGATAATTAATCTCAGCCATCCATTATGTGTAGTTGGTGTACGTTAATGATGTTTCGTAAAATATATCAAGTGTTTCAATTTATAATATTATTGTTTCATATATATTATTGCTTGTTTCATATAGTTAGGCTCTATATGAACTAGGTTTACTGTGATTTCTTATACCTTATTGATGTTTCAAAAAACATACCTTATGTTTCATTTTATACTATTTATGTTCCATAAAATATATGTATTGTTTCATATACTAATGATATTGTTTTATACATAAAAATCATTGATGTTTCATATAATATTTCATTCGAATATTATTTATATTGTTCCGGAAATAAGAACTATTGTCCCATAAATATTATACATTGTTCCATACCATATGTGTGAAATATACCAATGACTGAAATGCGTGTTCCCAAGAAAATTAAAAAGCATGTACCAATGAATGAAATGCGTGTTTCCAAGAAAATGCGTGGGAAAGTGATAATTAATCTCAACCATCCATTATGTGTAGTTGGTGTACGTTAATGATGTTTTGTAAAATATATCAAGTGTTTCAATTTATAATATTAATGTTTCATATATATTATTGGTTGTTTCATATAGTTGGGCTCTATATGAACTAGGTTTACAGTGATTTCTTATACCTTATTGATGTTTCAAAAAACATACCTTATGTTTCATTTTATACTACTAATGTTCCATAAAATATATGTATTGTTTCATATACTAATGATATTGTTTAATACATAAAAATCATTGATGTTTCATATAATATTTCATTTGAATATTATTTATTTTGTTCCAGAAATATGAACCATTGTCCCATAAATATTATTTATTTTGTTCCAGAATTGAATGATATTCCACACACAGATTTGCTCTGTTTTTGCACTGCTTCGAAAATTCTACCAAAAAAAAATCAAACGAACTCCAAAAATTCTGAAATTTTTGTATGCTTATTGTACACAAAAAAATAAGCAGATTCAAAAAAAGAATCGCTTCAAAAGGGTTTTTTATGAGAGAGAAATCTTCATTTGAAATCTGTCTTTCCAGATTTGCTCCTTTTTTGCACTACTTCGAAAATTCTACCAAAAAAAATATCAAACGAACTCCAAAAATTATGAAATTTTGTATGCTTATTCTACACAAAAAAATAATCAAATTAAAAAAAACGCTTCAAAAGCTTTCTTTATGAGAGAGAAATCTTCATTTGAAATCTGCCTTCATTTCTTTCTCTTCAATGGCTAAATTAAAATGAAACCAGATTTTCCATTTTCTCTCTCTTCAATGGCTGAATCTCTTGGTTTTATAGTACATAAATCGTTGTTTCAATGCAGAAAATAAGGAAAAAAAAATTAAAAAGCATGTACCAATGACTGAAATGCGTGTTCCCAAGAAAATGCATGGGAAAGTGATAATTAATCTCAGCCATCCATAATCTTATAATTGATGGTGCAAGATTGGTTCTTATTTTAAGGGGGTTCTCATATAAGCCTTATATGAGAACCAAGTTAAAATGAGAACCAATCTTATGCCATTAAAAATTATGAAACTAACGGCTGAGATTAGACATATGCACATGTATACCCACTGTGCATTTATTGAGACAATGATCACGTTTTCCCTCGAAAATTTAAAACTGCAATTTTAATGTCTAATCAAAACTGACGGTTGGTTTTCTTCCCTTACACACCGATTATTCTTACAAATTTACATCATTTCAAAAACCAATTATTTTACTTCAATTGTGTTCGCGCCCATAACTTCCATTGGGAGAAAAACGGAAGTAACTGCTACACTGTTCTATAAAAACCCCAAAAACTACCCAAAAATACCCATTCTCGATTTTGTTAGCAAAATGAAAAAACAAACGCAGAAAAAGGACTACCGAAGCAAGGAGAGTTTCAAGAAATTTCAGTAAGTTTTTTATAATTCAGTAAATTATGATGAAAATAAGATAATGTAAACAGTTAGGGTTTTAAATTTTCAAAATGTTTGGTTTTTAACAGAGAAAGGTTGCGAAGAGAGTTGGATGGAGTGGAGGGGGAAAACCCTACGGAGGAGGCCGGCGTTCCCGCTGCAGCCGAACAAGCGACGGAAAACGTACAACCACCAACGACGGAAGCTCAATTGACAAAGTAATGTTTCCAATTTTATTGTTAATGTCGCGCGAATTATACTTAGGGTTTCAAAAATTACATAGATTGTGTTTTGGCATTTCAAATTACTGCAACTAGGGAGGAGGCCGGCGTTCCCGCTGCAGCCAAACAACCGATGGAAAACGTACAACCACCAACGGCGGAAGCTCAATTGACAAAGTAATGTTTCCAATTTTATTGTTAATGTCGCGCGAATTATACTTAGGGTTTCAAAAATTATATAGATTGTGTTTTGGCATTTTTCAAATTACTGCAACTAGGGATTTAAAATTAGTATCAAATTAATTTTGTTCCATAATTTTGTTATAGTGTTTCTGTATTTGGAATTATTGTAACGGAAAAATGAACCATTGTTTCTGAACGTTGTTATGTTTTGAATTATAAGAGTAATTTTGATTTGTTCCATAAGTTGTTGTTATTGTTTCAAAATTAAATAAACTAATGTCACATTCAATTGTGTTGTTAAAATGTAGATTAATTGTAATTTAATGATGTTTCATAAAATATATAAAGTGTTATAATTGTTCAAATCAATGTTTCATTTATTATATTGCTTGTTTCATGTAGTTTGGTCCTTTATGAACTAGATGTAGTAATATGGTTTCGTTTTGTTTGTAAGATGGTTCATATTTTCATATCAATGATTCATATATTATATTGCTTGTTTCATATAGTTGGGTTCTTTATGAACTAAATGTAGTGATATGCGTTCGTTTTGTTTGTTAGATGTCTCAATTGTTTCAGATTAATGTTTCATTTATTATATTGCTTGTTTCATATAGTTGGGTTCCATATGAACTAGGTGTAGTGATATGTTATACATTATGTTTCAAAAAATCACACTAAATGTTTCATTTATTTATGTATATGTTCCAAACAATTGTGTTGTCAACGTTATGTTAAAATGTAGTTGAATTGTTTTTTAATGATGATTCATAAAATATGCAAATTGTTTCAGTTTTTCATATAAATGTTTCATGTAATATATAAATTAATTCAGTTTTCCATTTTCCAGAATAATAACAATTCTGTTTCATTTTTTATTAATTATGTTCCATAAAATACATGTATTGTTTCATATAGTAATTACATTATTTCATGCATTAAATCTATTTTGTTTCATATTTTATATTAGCGTCGCTGATAAGGAAAAAGTGGTACCCGTGCCAAAAAAAAGGAAGGAAACTCCAGCAAATGTACAGTCTGCGAAGGGGAAAAAAATCAAACATGTGCAAGAAGACAGTGATGAGGAGGAACAAGTGGCATTTAGACAACGTATTCCACCAGCCAAATTCATGAAACATGTTATTGTAGGACTTCCGGAAGCTCACAAGCAAGCTGTAAGGGATGTAGGCTTTGGGTCCTTCCTACTATTGGACCTGGATTCTAACAAAAACAGTTTTTGTCACGAGCTTGTGGCAAGGTTCAACCCCGACAGAGCCTCCCTTCAATTGCCAAATAGAGAGGAGATAGAAGTCCTCCCGGAAGACGTCCATGCTGTATTTGGTCTTCCAATTGGAGGGAGAGAAATTTAAGACAATAAGTGGATTGAAGAGGATGAAGAATCGCAGGTTTTCCTGCAAAAATGGAGAGATCAATTTGATGATGGAAGTCCAACCAATACCTCATTAATACAGCTGATTGAGACCCAAAAAGATGAAGATGTAACCAATGAATTCATCTGGAATTTCATTGTGGCTGCCATAAATTGTTGTGTACGATCTACATCTCGTTCAACATTAAATTTTAAATTTTTGTATTGCTGTGAGAATGTCTCACAAATTAAGACTTACGACTGGTGTACATACACATTTGAGAATCTGATAAACTCCGTAGCAGAATGGAAAGAAGGAGCTGCATACTTCACAGGACCTCTGCCATTCTTGATGGTAAATATATTGTTTCAGAATCTTAATAAACTGTTTCACTGAATAATTACAATGTTACGAAAATAATCCTTACTGTTACACTGTTAATTTGAGTACTTGCTTTAGTATTAGCTGTTTCATATTTTATGAAATTTGTTTCATGTTAAATACATAATGTTTCAGTATTAGCAACACAATGTAAGTTGCTTACGTAACTTGTTCAGATACTGGAATTCAGATATTGTTTCAGAATCCTAATAAACTGTTTCACTGAATAACTACAATGTTACTAAAATAATCCTTACTGTTACACTGTTAATTTGAGTACTTGCTTTACTATTAGCTATTTCATATTTTATGTAAGTTGTTTCATAAAGTTGTGCAGATGTTGGAATTCAGATCTGGAATTCAGATATTGTTTCAGAATCTAAATAAACTGTTTCACTGAAGAATTACAATGTTACTAAAATAATCCTTACTGTTACACTGTTAATTTGAGTACTTGCATTAGTTGTTTCATATTTTATGTAAGTTGTTTCATGTTAAATATATTATGTTTCTTATAATAAATATGCAGTTTCATAATAAACGTCTGTTGTTACATATTCATATTTAAAACCAACTGTTTCATATTGTTTATTTGTTGTTACATATGATAAACGAACTGGTAATATTTGTACTTTGATATCTTCTGTCAAAGTACATAACCTGTTTAAAATGTAGAAAAATGTTGGTTTAAAATATGAAACAGTTGGCATATAAAATGGAACATCATATATATACCTGATGTTTCATTGTTACTTATGCTGTTTCACATTATATGCCATATGTTTCATTACATATTACTGTTGTTTCATATATCGATGTTTCATTGTTACTTATGCTGTTTCACATTATATGTCATTTGTTTCATTACATATTACTGTTGTTTCATATAACTGTTGTTACATATTTAACAGATGGTGTTTCATTTTATTGTGAAACAGAACATACATTTGAAATCACATTTATTATAAAATGAAACACCATATGTTAAATATGTAACAACATATATTTAAAATATGTGATATCAAATGTATGTTCTGTTTCATTTTATATGCCTGTTGTTTCAAAATGTCAACCAACAATTTTTCATACTTGCTCAAACAGGTTATGTACTTTGATAGACTGAAGCGTGGTACAGCTCAACCACGAAGGACAATACCCCTAATAGCCGTTTGGAACAAGCAGATGATACAAGAACGAATGAAGGTGGAAAAGAAGAGAGGATTTGGACAAGGTAAAGTCCTTGACAGGTTAACTGCTATAAACACAAATTCTGGTGAAGAAAATCAAGGCCCTTCGTCGTCCTCTGCTCCTGAAGATGTTAAGGTAAAAAAAAAAAAAAAAAAAAACAATTAATATACATGATGTTTCATTGTTTCATATTAAATATAATTTGTTTCATTACATATTATTGTTGGTTCAAAATAATGTATATGATTTAGATGTATGTTGATTCATTTTATATGCCTATCGTTTCATTTTATATACCTATTGCTTCATACATTTCGGGTGTTTAATGTTTTGTCTACGCTGTTTCATATAATAAATCTGATGTTTCATATTGGCCACATGCTATTGTTGGTGTGTTATAGGGATTTATACTTGATGAATTCAACAACATTTCCAAGGAACTTACTGGCCATGTCCAGTCAATGTATGCACTGATTGACAAGGCATACAAATTGATTGAGGAGGTGGATATCCCAGATGAGATGAAGGAGCTCATAAGAAATGTATGGGGCAAGTACACATCAGTACAGCCCACTATGAGTTCCCAAGGAATCAACACCCCGGGTTTTCTATCTCAAGATGAGAACTTATTTCATGAGCCAGCGTTTTTATCTGAGCTCAGTGATGTGATGAACAAAGCATGGGCAAATTTTCAGGCCCCACAAGATGAACAACAAGATGAACCCCCCCCCCCCCTAGAATGTTGTACCCCCACAAGCTACACCCCACAATGATTTCGTTCATGACATTGTTCCATTATTTGAATTCCAGCCAAACTATAATCTATTTGTAGGTTCACAGGCGTTGCCTCCAACACCCCCAGCAAAAGGAAAGTCACTAGAGCAGGAAGAATCTCCAACGAAGCAGCACTTGGAGTAACTCACTGAATCCATCGTTCATAAGATAACAATGCAACATTCTGAGGAGCCAGTGACTGGTTTGCAAAGAGAAAAAAGAATCACACAAAATCTTCCTGTGCACCTTCGATCCCCATTCATGGTGCAGAATGAAAAAATTTCAGCAAAAATTGATGCCCTACAAAGAACAGCCGCCGAATATGCCTTTTGTGCAGGCCCAAAATCGTGAGAATTTCCTGGAATGCTTTGTCTCATATTATGTACATATTGTTTCATATTATATACAATATTACATTGTTTCATATTATATACATATTGTTTCATTAATTTGTTTTCCTGTCCCATCAATTTCAGTGAGCAGCTGTACAATGACGGGCTTAACTTCATCAGTAGGGAAGACATTTTAGGACTACAAGGTGACAACCATGTGGTCAACAATATAATAGACTCCTGGGGCCACATCCTTAACATGGCAAACAAAAGAAGGCAACCAGGCGCTATCAACCGTTTTTTCTGCTCCTCTGAATGTTGGGTAATTATGTCTAAAATTATTTTACAGTTTCAATTTTAAGTTCTAATGTTTCATTTATCATATAATTTGTTTCATTAACATATTGTTCCATTTTTCATTACTTTTGTTTCATATTAAATTAAATATATTTCATTGTACATACAATATGTTTCATTGTATACATTGCCAATGTTTCACTACATAGTGCCAATGTTTCATACATCTGATGTTTCATTTTTCATTTACGCTGTTTCATTTCATAGTGCCAATGTTTGACTATATAGTGCCAATGTTTCATACATTTGATGTTTCATTTTTCATTTATGTTGTTTCATATTATATATCAATTGTTTCTTTGTATATAGTGCCAATGTTTCACTATATAGTGCCAATGTTCCACTACATAGTGCCAATGTTTCATTTTTAATATATTATGCTCCGTATAAAATACTTCAGTTTTATAGTATTGATACATTATAATATTCCTGATACACTAACAACTACAACAATGATTAATTACCCGGGAATAAACAGAATATGCTGTGCGGTAACAAGTACTTTACGCCAAATACCAAGTTTGTAGAGAGATACAACGCTTTCAAGAGCAGGATGGTGGACGAGATGAATCATTCTAAAATAACTTCTTTTGACAAAGTAGATTTGGTTAGATACTAAACTAGTACTGATTCTTAGCATATATATTTGCTTAAAAAGACTTACTTAATGTTACATATAACTTACTTATTGTTTCATTATAGGTTTTCTTTCTCGTCCCAGCATTTGACCACTATTATCTGTTCTGTTTCAATTTTTCACGCAAGCAACTGCAAATTATAGACAACAGATTTCTAGAAGAAGGTGTTGAAATGGATGCAAAGTACGGCAATTTCCCAACTACCATGGTAAAAATATGACACTGTTTCACTAAACATCACTGGTATTCCATTTTTTATTTTTTGATGTTTCAATTAGTATATCTGGTGTTTCATAGTTGATTTCTTGTGTTTCTGATTATATAGAATTTGTTTCAATATATATATATGGTTTCAAATAATACATTTGATGTTCCATTTTTTCATTACTACTGATTCATATTAAATTAAATAGGTTTCATTGTACATATAATATGTGATTTCATATTCATACATCTGATGTTTCATTTTTCATTTACGTTGTTTCATATTATATATCAATTGTTTCATTGTATATATTTGTTGTGCCATTGTTCCTTGGTACATCTAATTGTTTCATATTACACAGATCAAGGCATTTGCTAAATTTCTAAATGAAAAGAAAGTTGGGAATGGACGGGGAGTGTCTAGATTCAATACCACTATGAAGGAAATGAGATGGAAGAATAATGAGAATTATAATGACTGTGGTGTATACGCTCTCAAATACATGGAAACTTACATGGGGCAGCTAGATGAATGTTGGGATATTGGATTCGACCCAAAAGATGTGAGTTTTTGTGTAATTCTTATATTAATTTATACATAATTTATGGTTCATTGTTCCGGTATTTATTTTGAATTGTTAATATATTTCAGCCTGATATAATGAAGAAGCTGAGGATTGAGTATTGTGGGAAAATATTGACAAGCCCTACAAACGTACTACAAGATGAAGTTATAGCCAAATCAAAGACCTGGGCATTAGAGCAGCTTCGTCATGTTAATCAGTAAACAATGTTTATAATGTTTCCACATTATTTGTAAGATACATAATTTTTATGCATGTCCTGGATAATTTAGCTAAACATCTTTTTATGTTTCGTATGTAAAGATGTGCGTATATTATTTTCAATTGTGAACTATTAATATGACACATTAGAAGTATTAAATGAAACTTTAAATATATAAAATGAAACAACAACTAGGTAATATGAAACAATGTGATTATAGGTTTAGCTAAACATGTTCTGGATTATTTTCCCATAATTAGAATTATTAAATGAAACTATAAATAGATAAAATGAAACAACGGTAACGTAATATGAAACAACATGAAACAACATGCATTGTCAACGGTAAGAAATAAATTTAAACCATGCACTGTCACAACTGAACACGTTTCCACATGAAACTGACAAGTGTAAGGTTGCTTTTAAACTTTACAATAAATATGTTCCCAAAGCAACAATACCACACCAGTACTTTTAAAAAAAGATGACTAGTCAAATCAATACACGCTGCCACGACTAGTTAAATCAATACACGCTGCCACATAAAATCAATTTGCACACTTTGTGAAAAATATTATATACTCCGTAACTTTTTTATATAAAACATGCTTACAAAACATGCTAAAACGAATCTTAATGTTTCAGGGAATGTTCTTACTGTTCCCATAAATGAAACAATTGTTACATATATTAGAACTAGTGTTTCTTAAAACTGATGCTTCTCAAAACTGATGTAACATATATTAAAACTTATGTTTCTCAAATGTAACTAATTGTTCCATTACAAAAAACATAAAAATGAGTAAAACATTCCCATAAGAAGGAACAACAGCTGCACAAATCATCATGCTTTGTGAGGACAATTCCGAATATCATGATATGTTAGCTCGGCCACAGCCACTGCATTTCCTCTTCGTTTTCTTTTTAGATTGTTCAACCGCTATTTCTTTGGCACCCTTTAATCTTTTAGACCCACTAGTTCCAGAGCCATCGTGAACACCTGTACCTTTATTCTTCGACACTTTAGGAGGCTGAACAAGTATTTCATCAGGAATGCTATATCCTATTAACATCTCAATATCATGTTCACTAGATCTTACATTCTGAGTATCTTCCAAAGTAACATTTTTTGTCGCTTCAATTTTATTCTTGAACTCTCGAATATTCTTAATAAAGTCCTCCTCATGACCTTTAACCAAACTCACACAAGAAAATATCTCCGACCACATTTCATTTATAACCACCCGCCTATCATCTTCGGTGTCTAAACAACTTATATCTAACACTGGTTTCTGAGTAGCATTTATTGTCCAACGATCTAAGATATATTGCTTTGGAATGCTTTTTAAATTCTTTGCCTTCCACATCCATATCATATGTCTGCATGGGATTCCTATCCTATAAAACTTCTTACAAGAGCAGGTAGTGTCATGACTAAAGCACTCAAACAAAACTTTAAATGTCCTTCTCCTATTTGCCTCAGTAACAATTGCTACATCAATACCATCTTCCTTCCTCAATTCATCTACACCACAACAATAAAAAGCACTATGAACTTCATCTTGAAATTCATAAAATACAGAAACTATGTACACCTCAGAACCATGCCTCTCAATCAACAATTCTGTCTTACATTGAGGGAATTTCTCCTGTGATTCATTGTCATTCTCTGCCTGACAATGTCTCTGTGCATCCAACGCAGTTTCATACCTCATGAAAAACTCCACAAGAGACACGTGAGGATTTACAACGGATGTAAAAAAATTATTCTCACTCTCTGACCTTGAGGTAGTTCTCATAATACCACCCATAAAGACATCTCTAAAATACGCTGGAATCCACATAGCTCTCATCTCAAACATCAAATTCAACCAATCATGATCTTGTAATTTAAACTCAACAAGAACATTGTTCCACTTCTCTTCAAATTCAGGTGCCTCAATTTCTAAATTCCAAACACACTTACTGAGTTCCTTCAAAAATTCAGTATCCTGAATGATATTCCTTCCAACTTTATCGGGCAGCTTTTTCATTATGTGCCACATACAAAATCTGAAGGACATTAATTATGGGACATTAGACCACTATTTTGAAACATTATCTTTTAAAACTGTAACATTATAGTAAAATTCCGGAACATCATCTTGAAGATTTGAAATAATAAAATAAATAATTGGAATAACTAGGCGAATTCTCGTAACAATTGATTAACCTAATGGAACGTCAGAACATAAATTTGAAACAATAAAACACTATATAGGAACAATGTTTTTTTAAAAAAAAAATTCAGAATAATAATATTTAACATCATCACAACAGCTGGAAACATCAATCAACTAATATGAAACATCAGACACGGATTTTGAAACAATAGTATTCACAAATGAATCAATGACATTAATTATGGGACATTAGACCACTATTTAGGAACATTAGCTTTTAATACTGTATCATTGTAGTAAAATTCCAGAACATTATCTTGAAGATTTGAAATAATAAAAAAAAATAATTGGAATAATTAGGCAAATTCTCGTAACAATTGATTAACCTAATGGAACATCAGAACATAAATTTGAAACAATAAAACACTATTTAGGAACAAAATTTTTTTTTTAACAATAATATTTAAAATCATTAATTTGAAACAATAATATGAAACAATAGTATTCACAAATGAATCATTCTAGTTGCAGTACAATAAAATAAATACTAATCTGAACCAATAAATTTAAAACAATAATATTTAACATCATAACAGCTGGAAACATGAATAAACTAATATGAAACATCAGAAACATATTTTGAAACAATAGTATTCACAAATGAATCATTCTAGTTGCAGTACAATAAAATAAATACTTGTGCTCACATTGTTGGAAAACAGAATTTACAGCAATTTTCATAGCTGGATCTTGATCCGTAATTAAACAATTGGGCTCCCTACCACCCATTGCCTTAACAAATGTTCTAAATAGCCATTCGAAAGAAGCAACATCTTCCTTTGCAATAAAACCAGCAGCAAAAGTGACACATTTCTTGTGGTGATCGACTCCCGTGAATGGACCAAATACCATATTATATCTGGAAAACATGAAACATACGCTGAAATTATGATTCTATATTTATGTCTATTGTTTCGTAATATTATTCCAATGTTCCGAAAATTAAAACAAATGTTACATCAAATTGTAAAACCCAAAAAAAAATCAAAAAACTTTAAAAATAACACTATGATACCTGTTGCTTTGGTAGGTTGTATCAAACGAGAGCATATCACCAAATACGGTATAATTTCTCCGGCAAATAGGATCTGCCCATAAAGCTCTACATAGACAGTCGTCTTCATCCATTTCGTAATAAAAAAAATAAGCCGACTACATCAACTTCTTCCTCTTAAAATTATCAACAAACATCTGGGCGTCCGATCCTTCAATATACGCCTTCAAATCTCTATGAAAATTTTTGAAGTCATTCCTACTAGCGCCTATATTCTCATACCCACCAACATATTCCTTCACCATTCTGTATGTCTTGACAGGACCAATATTCACCTGTGGAGACAGAATGTAAAAAGACTAGACTGTTTGAGGACCATGATATATATGGAAACAGATCTAACAGTGCATATTTAATTTTATGAAAAAAAAAGGCAAAAAAGATTTCAAAGATTCTAAATATAGATATGAACAAAAAACAATAAGGCACACATTTAATAACAATAACGGTACACGTTATTCTTGATGGATAGTGCGAAATTCGATGACGACATATTATATTGAAACAAAAATGCACTTTATTGTTCCATATATCTGACCACATGTTCCAAAAATGCACTTTATTGTTCCATATATCTGACATACTGTTCCTACGCATTACCCTATTGTTACATTTGTTATAATAACGAAATAATTTTAAACCTTTACAACTAATCGCTCCAACTATGTTTCAATTATACGTAATATTGTTCCATTTATCAAAACCATTGTTCCATACAGTTGTACTTACACCTACTTGAGTATATACATTACAAACAATTGTTCCATCAAAAACAATATATATTTCATATTACAGTATTAATGTTTCATATATGTACACAATTGTTACTTCACATTTAAAATTTAATCATTTTAAACAAAACCATATTCAAATACGATTGTTCCATCCAAAACAATATATATTTCATATTACAGTACCAATGTTTCATATATGTACACAATTTTTACTTCACATTTAAAATTTAATCATTTTAAACAATTGTTCCATCAAAAACAATATATATTTCATATTACAGTACTAATGTTTCATATATGTACACAATTGTTACTTCACATTTAAAATTTAATCATTTTAAACAAAACCATATTCAAATACGATTGTTCCATCCAAAACAATATATATTTCATATTACAGTACCAATGTTTCATATATGTACACAATTGTTACTTGACATTTAAAATTTAATCATTTTAAACAAAACCATATTCAAATACCTTTGAATTATCAATTATCATTTTCTTATGAAACATTGTCAGCTTTCTTTTGGACTTCTGAAAATGAGAGTTCTCGGATGAATACGAATGATGAGTATGCCCTTCTTCAAAATTAGAAACAATGTAACCTCCATCTTCGCAATACTTTAAAATCATCTTTGCCTTACAACCAACTCGAGTAGACAATATTCTTTTAACCATACGAGTATTCGCTTCTTGACAATCATAGTCTTCTTTATCTTGACCAACAACCACTTCTTCAACATTCATATCATCTACAAAATTATCATCTTCTTCCCCGATACTATCAACTTTCTCTGTCACCACATTATTTCGTTTTTCTTTAAACCCAGCTTTATTACATACAATAATTTGAAAAGAAATAATACCATTTTTTCTTTTTTTGACCGTCGACTTTCTAGTAATAAATCCTACAACAGCTGCGTAGGACTCATAAAAACGCAAACCTTCATCAAGTTTTGAAAATTTCATACCTATAGTTGGTCTAATTTCACTATCACAACATGGAATCCATATCTTCGTTCCACCAGGGGTAAAAGCATGAAGAACATTAGACGTACCAAATTCAACAGACAAATCTATGGTTAATATAACTACAGGAAAAAAAAAATGAGCTCTAACCTTTGATAATGTATTCCAATGGCTGAATCTATTCCAATGGCTGAGATTACGTCTTCCAATGATTGACCCATAATGTATTCCAATGGAATACAACGTCTTCCAATGCACAAAACTAAAAAAAAAATAAAATTACAAACAATCATTACCTTTTCAAGCTGGCCCACGTGAATTCCCACTATAGTTACTAATAAATCTGAACCATTCATCTAATAACAATGAATGGTCTTAGATTGGTTCTCATTTTATATTGGTTCTCACCTAAGCCATGAGTTCTCACATGATCCCATTTCTATATGTATATATATATATATATATAGGGTCGGGATCCGGTGAGAACCACCCTTTATGTGAGAACCACCATCTATGTGAGAACTAATACCAGCCGTTAGATTATATGAAATTCAACAGCTGAAATTAAAATACAAAGCTGCCTAACAACCAACCCACGCTTAACTGAAAATTGGTTCAAAGATCTGCTTCAACTTTCTCATTTATTCTCTCTGCACAACGAAGCTCCATAATTATCAATGGCGACTGAATAATCAATTTGAAGGCTTGACAATTTCGATTTCATCTTCTTCTTCACAAGTACGAATAACTTCGATTAAAGAATTTGAAGGCTTGATAATTATCAAGGTTTGTTTATCTTTACAATTTCGATTTTACTACTCTGAAAATTTCGAATTGCATCAATTATTAAGGTTTCATCAATTATTGAAAATTTTCGAATTTCATGAATACAACGAAAAACTTGATAGTGATTCTAATGATCTCAGATTAAACTTATCATAAAAAATTAAGAAATAATATTTGACTTTAGCTAGTAATTGAGAATTTTCGATTGTTCTAATAATTTTCGATTCTATTGCATTGATAATTTTGGATTCTATTGTTATGATAATCTTTGAATTGCATGTTATTTTTGAATTTTTGTTAAGATTTTCGTATTCATGTCGTGGAATTTCCAATTTAATACTCTTATAATGTTCTTATTTCCGAATGCTATTATTATGCTCTTATGTTATTATGTTCTTATTTGCAATTAAATTTAAAATGAGCAAATGAATTGAAAATGAGCAAACCTAAATATGTGTAATAATATAGAAAAAAATATAATGAGAAAACATAATTAAAATGAGCAATTTGAACATTTTAGTGATCTCAATATAAGATTTTCATCAAAATTATTGTATTGCTTGTTATAAATTTGCTAAATTGAATTGAAAGTATGTAAAATGAGCAAATATATTCAAAATGCGGAAACAGGGTTAGGAGTAAAACAAACTAAAATGAACAAATATAATTAAAATGAGCAAAAAGAATTAAAATAACAAAATAGAATTAAAACGAGCAAATATTATTAAACTAAGCAAATAGATTATGAGAAAACATAATTAAAATGAGAAAATATATTCAAAATGAGCAAACATATTATGAGTTCCTTGATCTACTTGCCTACACACAAGCCCCACCCCCTTCTTGGTCTGTTGACTGCACATCAACCCCACCCTCTTCTTCCACTTTCCTGCACAAACCTATCCCCCCAACCCCCTCCTTCTTCTGCTTGCAGTTCTGATTTCAGATTTTGATTTCAGAAACTGATTACAATTCTTATTTAAAAATCTAATTTCAGTTCTAATTGTGAATGTGTGTGTGTGTGTGTGTGTCTGTGTTACTGTGTTTAAAGGGGTGTAGAATTGCAGCAGATCAATTACAGCTATGTTTTCTATATTATTGTGTTATTCACTTGTTACTGTTTTGTTGAATTGTTTTTCACTTGTTTGTGACTTGTTATTTCTATTATATTTAATAACAGAATGATGAGCAATAACAAACAACTTGAGAGTGATTCTAGTGCCATCACAAATGTGTCAATTACTCCTACAATAGTAATTTATCCTAAAGTAGCGCGCACCTTTGCTAACTCCTGGAGAAACAAAAGAGAAGGATGTAGAATAAAAAGAAGAGATTATGCAAAAAGGCTAAAGGGAGAAAAAGGCTAAAAGGACTGAGATTGATGTGTCAAATGTTGAAACAAGAGGTAGAAGTGCAAAAAGGCTATAGGAGGAAAAAGAAAAGGTTGTAGAACAAAACCATAAAAAGAAGAGATTATGCAGAGGTTGTGGTGAATTGAGTCATCATGATATTAGAAATTGTCCAAAAAAGTGTAATGATACTTTTATATACATATATGATTTAATATTTTTAGCACATCCCCTCATTAATTATTGAACATATAGAAATTTTGTTGAATTTCTATATTTAATAATATAGTTTTAGTTTTATATTGCTCATAAGCAAATTAGCTATTGAGTGAACTTGCAGCAATTAATTCTATCATTGAATCAAATGAATCTTTGGTTGCAAATTAATGATAAATGACCTAAAATATTTTGATCATTTGATAAATAAGCAAAAATTTAGTTACTCATTTGTTAAATGAGCAAATAATTAGTTGCTCATTTTCAAATGAGCAAATAGTTAGTTGCTCATTTGTCAAATGAGCAAATAGTTAGTTGCTCATTTGTCAAATGAGCAAACATTTCTTTGCTCAACTAATAAATGAGCAACAATTATTTGCTCATTTGTCAAATGAGCAAATAATAAGTTACTCATTTATAAAATAAGCAAACAATTATTTAATCATTTGTTAAATGACCAGCAACTTAATTAGTTGCTCATTTGTTAAATGAGCAAAGACTTATTTAATCATTTGTCAAATAAGCAAATAGTTAGTTGCTCATTTATTAAATGAGCAACAATGTAATTGTTCATTTTTTAAATGAGCAAATATTTAATTGCTCAAGCATTTCTTTACTCATTCATTAAATGAGCAAATAGTTCGTTGCTCATTTGTAAAATGAGCAAAAGAGTTAGTTGCTCATTTGTCAAATGAGCAAACATTTCTTTAATCATTCATTAAATCAGCAAGCATTTCTTTGCTCATTTGAGAAATGAGTAAACATTAGTTTGCTCATTTGTCAAATGAGTAAATAACTACTCACTCATTTATAAAATAAGCAAACATCTCTTTGATCATTTGGCAAATGAGCAATCAATTTTTTGCTCATTGAGCAAATAAGCAAATAGTTAGTTGCTCATTTGTCAAATGAGCAAATACTTAGTTGCTCATTTAACAAATGAGCAACAATTTAGTTTCTCATTTAACAAATGAGCAACAATTTAGTTTCTCATTTGTCAAATGAGCAAATAGTTAG